TCATACTTTCCTTTTTTAACATCTTTCACAGTTCACAGGCTGACTTCCTGGTTTCACGTTGACCCACCATACTCACACAGTTTTCCTGCACAATTAATGAATTATTTGTGATTGAGCACCTCAAGTTCTAGCTCAAATATAAGTTGGTTTTTATATACTAGTGAAATTGGTTCCTGTGTACCCAGATCTCTGCAAGTTTTATGATCAGTATAATGTTATCACAAGCCATAAAAACAGAGGCCAGAACTGCAAAAGAGTAGTCAAAGTGAGAATGCTTCACAATGTCTGACGACACTCTTTGAGCTAAAATTTTAAGCCAGGAAAATATTTTTGTTAAATCACTTTTTTTTATTTTTACACAGTTTACCAAGAAGCATTGACATCAGCAGTCATTGGAACAACCTCTGCTGTTTTCCTGGCCATCATAGGGCTCTCTGTCTTCCTACTGATAAGGTGAGTACTCTCTCTTTACCAAAACATTGAACATTTAATACTTACAAATCAGTTTTACATGATACTCTAAATTATGAACTTCTTTGTTTTTGATTAATTCTCTAAACCAGAAAAAAGAGAGCCACCAGGCAGTCATCCAAGCCTGTAGAGGGTCCACACAACAGGCAACAGGTGAGCAAATTTAAATTCAATACAATCCAGTGTGAATGTCTGTGAAACACTGCTTCTTCAGTTTCAGCCGGAGATGTTTGAGAACATGACGTGTTATTCCTTGATTTGTCACACTCCTATCACGTGACCATCTTCTGTAGGAAAACAAACAACATTTTAAAAATGACTTTTGGCAGGGTGGATGTAGCTTTAGTCACGCATTATCAGAAAGTGTTAAAACCAGGCGGCAACTTCCAGTTCTGCAGAGTGAAGCCAAAGTGTCTTAAAAACGTGCATTTTCTCTAGTGTCCACCAGGGGGCGACTCCTCTGGTTGTATAGAAGTCTATGAGAAAATGACTCTACTTCTCTCTTGATTTATTACCTCAGTAAACATTGTAAACATGAGTTTATGGTCTCAATCTCTAGTTTCAAGTCTTCTTCAATACAGCATGATGTTCATTTAGTACATTATGGTCCATTTAGAGTCACACAGACCATAAAGCAGGGGATGCTTTAGGGCGGGGCTACATGGTGATTGACAGGTTGCCATAGCCACATATGGCGTCTCTACGTCACTCCTCCACAGTCCAAATTTTGTAACTTCCGTTCATCGGTTCCAAAAAAGCAAAGATGGCAACAGCCGTGTTCCAAGATGGCGATGGTGAAATCGCCGAACTCGAGGCTTCATAACGGAAGTCCACAAACCAAAGGGTGACGTCATGATGACTACGCCCACTTCTTACATACAGTCTATGGTTAATCCCCCCTGACTGAGAGGCAGTCCATGTAGCTCTAATGCCACCCTTCTTCACATAAATCAATCCTGTTATGAGCCTCCTCTTCTATCTGGTGGACATGGCTGTGGAGAAGGGCTTGTGGGCTATCTTGCTTAGCCTGCTGCCATCACGGCTGGGACGTGGTTAAGTTAAGGACAATAGCGGGATGAATAGATCAAGAAGTTGTATTTCCAAAGGTTCTACCAAAGTCATTACACTTGTAAAATGTAAAAAAGCTATTTTGTCTTTGCAGCGTCAACCCAATGAGGCGGTGGAACGGGATGCTATTCACTACGCCAGTATCCACTTTGCCAACCAGACAGACCCGGTCTACTCCAACCTCAGACCAGCTCGACTCCGCGTATACGAGGAAGTCGAGTACGCTGCTGTCAAATTCAAGAGTGCCAGCGCTTCTCCGAGGTGATCTCTTTATCCTCACTAAAACCTCAAAATCACATGAATTTTGTAGAATTGATGGTTGAATTTGAACACTTTCACTGCTGTTGCAGTTGCTTGCTTGTTTACCTTTTTGCTCTCACTGTGAGACTTTGTATCGGTTTGTACTATATCTCCAGCATTCCTGATTTGTCTCTTCTTCTCAGAACTAGAAGTCGGGAGACTGTGGAGGATCCAGCTGAACTGTACAGTACAGTCAACAAACCTTACCTTTAAATGTTGTATTGACATTCACGGTCATCAGATTCCTACAGACGTTGAAGATTCCCGGACTTTAAGTCCAGCGCCAAAACAGGGCGTCATTTGAGTTTCTTAGTTCACATGGTTCTCCAAGGATAAATCCGTCTGATGTTGGTGATTCCTCGACATCTGAAATATCACAACTACTATGGGATGGATTGTCATAAATGAGTCACAGCCATGTCCCTCACAGGATACATTATAATGACTGGCTTTAGTTGATCTAGTTGTAGTGCTGCCACTAGATTTTAGTCAAGAGTCATGCTTTACTGATAGACAACCATTTCCAAAATCATGGAAGCTCATTTTTCATTTGTGTAAATACAGTCTTTATACATGTCATACAGTTCTATTATAAAAGATAAGGTTTTATTTTTACTTATTTCTAAATATGATACGATTACAGCTCATTATCATGCTTCCTTTTTTTTTATACTGCATGTGTCAACCTGAAATAAAAACAGTGGAGTCAAAAAGCTGCAGTGATGAAAGTCCAGTCTTTGTCAAGGAAACGTTACAGTTGGAGCACAGGAAGGGCAGACGGCAGCGCAGAGACCGTTGCTACAGTCATTGTGAGTCAGGGATGGAAAGTGACCACAACCGCAGCCCTGCTCACCACTGTGGTGCTCCTGTCTGTGCTGCAGATAGTGTCTGCCTGTTTACATGGAGTTCTGTATTTCTTTTTCAAATTCCACTTTCTCCTTGACTTATAATATTCAAAATAAACAGCCAAGTACTGTACATATTTAAGTCATAAAACAAATAAGTTGTCAAATGACTTTTTGCAGACATTATTAATGCATTGAAGCGATGTTTCAAATGTTCTGTTGTCTCTTCCGGAACTTAAAGTTAAAGTTAAATTTTGGCCATTTACTGGCATCTGGTTGAAGAGGAAGGACGCCTGGTGTATTTTCAAGCCTACTTAATGCCCACAGGGGACCGATGCGGTTCAAGAGCGCTTCCTTCTTTATTGAAAGTAGTTGATGTGACTAATCTTCAAACTTGTGCGCAGTAACCTTCTTGTTTGTTTTCACTGAAGCCACACAGCAAAGAGAGGAGCAGCTATGAATGTTGTCTTCCTTCTTTCCATGCCAGGTACTGCATATCCACATTTACATTATGAGGCATTTAGCAGAGCAGCAGTTTTAAATGGAAAATATTCTGAATAATCCCCAAACTACCTATTTTCAAATCTGTGCATGTTTTCTGTATCCTCACATATTCAGACCAAGTGGTTTTATTGAGGTGATAAGTGATGACCTCAGAGCTATCGCTCCAATTTGTAAAAAATGATTAGTTTGCCCATTAAACACAATATTATTTTAAACAATTAAAATCTGTTGAAATGTGGTGGAGGAGAATTAGCATTAAAAGAAAAGACTAAAGAAACAGAATGACTGGAGGGAGACTTACACTCCTACTGGCATCTGTGCGTTAAAAGGATCAACAGTGGAAACACATCTGAATAAAGCCCTGCTGTTACAGTCGGACATTTCTGGGGAAGATCATTTCCCCTTTCTCAGTTCAAGCATCCTCATTGGCGTCCTTTGACTCAGCAGACAGCTTCTCTTGTGTTCTTAAAGGGCACAAAGATTCCCCCTCTCCTTCAGTGTGTGAGTTTACTGTATAGTCCTCCCCAAACCGGTCTGCCTGATGACTAAGTGTTTTAAATATGAATGCTCACACATCCTCTTTCTATATTAACACATTCTCTGGGGGCATTGAGCCCTGCAGGATCACTTCTGCTGTCAGCGCCTCAACAAGCTGCTGTGTATCACAGCTGAGGAGAAAGATGGAGTCAGCAGCTGTTTGAAGATGGTTTTATCTTTCAGGTGTTGGTGGTCAACACTGCCACTGAGTGACGTACGCTGACAGAAGCATCTGGGCCTTCAAAGGCTCGTCAGCGGACATTTACTGTGTTCAGCACTTATGAATCTATCGCATCTAGATTCTGTTTCAGTTCTGATCATCAGCAGAGGCGGTATCTCACACCACCTGAGGACCTGAGTGAAGACTACATTATATGACATTTTTCGACTCACTATACTCTGACTTTTAGGAAGCAATATACTATGACTTTTTACTGCTTTTTTCGACATATTATACGATGACTTTTTAATAACTTTTCCTAAACACTATGTTAGTTGTTAAAGATTTTTTTGACATAACATTCTATGTATTTTTCATGACTTTGTTCACCATACAATACTTTGAGTTTGAATGACTTTTTGACATACGATACTATGGCTTATCATTTTATTCAACATACTATACCATGACTTTTTAAGACTTTTATTGACATATTATACTTTTTTTAGACCTACAGTAATATGATTTTTTAATGATTTCTTCATCATACTATATACTTTGTCTTTTTCATGACTTTTTGCGACATATTCAACATTCTATAATATAACTGACTTTAAAGAAAATGCTATATGACCACAATTTATGATTTTTTTCGACATCCTATACTATTTTCGACATACAACACTATGAGTATTTTAAACATACAACACTAAAACTTTTTATGATATTTTTTGACTTACTATCTACAACTTTTTGGGATGTTTTTTGATATACCATGCTCAGACTTTACTATACCATGACTTTTTTTTCAACATAAAATACACCGCCCCGAGGTGAGCAGCTCCTCTCGCAGGAACCTGACTTTAGGATTTACATCACACTAGCTTGGAGTAATTACAACACAAACCTTCATCGTTGATGCATTTGACTGATGTAATTGTACCTGCTTAATGATCACTGTCCAAGCATTTGCATCATCTAATAACTTATCTGCAAAATTCCCTAATTCATTTTTCTCTTTGAAAAACCAGAAGTCAGCCGCGGAGGATTTAGCTGCTTTGTACAGAACGATCAACCGAACCCTGCTGAGCACAGAAGGGATCTCCAGCCTGGTGTGTATGTGCAGTAGTCTGTTTATTTAAGCGAGTACACTGATTTCATATATTTCTTTCTGAGAATACAGCACTGAGACAACCATCGGTTTCTTAACAGAAATTTAAACTTACAAATTTGAACAGAACACGAGAACTCCAGCTCCACTGTCAGTCCTCTTTCTCCCCCAAAGTGGAACACAAATAACTTACTCATTGCACAGGCTGTGTGGCCCTAAAATGACCATTGAGTCTTTGTGTGCACAGCAAATTGCTGTTGTTGCAAGAAAAACAACAACATAAGTGTGCAAAAGAGAGTGGCGTGGAGTTGCAGCTCAGACACCTCTACAGCCGGCAGCCGATGATGGACAGTTCATCTGCAGCATCCTTCAGGCTCTTGCACTTAGCTTGCAGGCTGGGACTGCTGGAGCACTCATCGGGCGAAGGCCAGTGCTCCACCCAGGAGTCCTTTCCTAACATGTAGATGAATCTGGCAGGCAGGGAGGGAAAAGAGAGGAGTTTACACTGTGTGGGTCGTATTATGCCTCCAAATGGCTATCGTTGAAGAAAAAAAAACAATCTTCTAGGTCCAATTCTGTGGCTGGTTCAGATGAGTTTTATTCACTGCACAGTGGAGACAGAAGTCCATAACAAAGCTTTGGAATGGTGTGAGTTCTGGCCATGATGATAGACGAGGTCACAGGACACAGTTAAAGATAAGGTGTGTGCTGGGCTAAGCTTCTCAGGGAGGACAACTGACAATGGAACTCTCTGCACCTAAGATGTGTGTTTGTTTTCAAGTCCAGGGAATGAAGCTTGGTTTATACGCTCGGCGAGCGATCATGTGACACAAATAGTTCACTGATAAAAACACTATTTACATGTCTAGAGACTACAAAGAAGGCCGATTCATTTTTAAATGCTTTAGAAACAGGAAGTCTTTTACAGGATATTCAACCTTTGTTTCTTCATAATACATGTACTACCTGACTTCTTTCTTTACAGGGTTTGTATGAAGGTAATAAAGTAGACCATGAATATGAGATATGAGTTTACAGATAATTACAATCCGTCCTCGTCATTGTTGAGGTTGCTTTATGTTCATATCTCTGAGTTACACTCGTTGTCTTTTTGATTCCTCACAGTTCATTTAGTTTGTACGCCCTCTGGTGTTTCAGAGAATATTGCAGCGCAGAGAGTATAAACGCCTCCGTTTGACTAGCAGATAAAATAATGCAGCCTTTTTTAGTGAGTTTGTACTTAGGAGGGCAGTTATGTTTTCCCAAACCCCAGTTTGTGAACAAACAAACATGGCTGCCAGTAGAGTGAGCAGTAAATTCATTTTCAGGATGACCTTTGATCAGTCGATGTACTGCTGTAGCGTCTAGTTCCTGTAAACAGCCGAGTGTTTACTGCAAACATCACACTTTCTCTACTTTGGTAGCTTACACACATAATAGGACTGCTTATTAGAAAATAATAATAATTAGGGAGCCGGGGGAGAGGGGTGAATTTCAGAGAACAAATCTCAGAAATTCTAAGATTACAGTCCTTAATTTCAAAGTCATAAATTGGGTAAAACGGTGGTAACGCCAGCCGTCATCTGGATTTTGTTCCGCCTAAAGTCGTGTTCTTATGGCGAAGCTCCTGAATGATGCATAAACATGTTTTCTTTCTGTTATTTTATGACAATTAAAATAATAAAGCACTTGTGGCTCAGATTGGTTCAACCTCATCACACCAGAATATCTCTAATCGCTAATTTTTTAAATCTGCAATAACCTTAATTTACCGTTGTAGCAAAGCGACTACAAAAAATCTATTTGAAAAATGTGACACTTTGAATATAAAAGACACATTTCTAATAAAAACTCCTCCGTGTACAGACAGAACCTCGAACTGTCTGTTGGACTGCAGGTGTGTTGGTTCGGTTCTCGCTCTTCCTACCTGTTGGTGTCAGCGTCGATGTTCCACTGGTCCTCTTTGGGGCCGATGATGAGGTACTGGGAGCCCTCCTTAAGGACCAGTCCATCTCTGCAGCCTCCGTGAGACATGAAAAACCTCCTCTGGCCCACTTCAACTCCTGCCTCCACGCCTTCAGATTCAGAACATATTCATAGCTGCATTATAGTGAATTACCAGATAAAAGAGCTTCAAATTGAGTGGATACGGATACATCTGTTATCTAACATCCTGGGCTGTTAAAAAGATATTTGTCCTCCATCATGAGGCCGTAAGGATTTTACTTAAGAGTCTCTTACTCGTTTTTTTTTTATTATTAATGAACAATGCTTTATTTAAAAAAAGAGCTGATGCTCATAAAAGACACACATCCACTGCATTGACTCACCCAGCTTGATAACTTGTGTGATCTCCATCTCGTACTTGTCGTAGTAACTCTGAGTGACGCTCAGCACCTTCACCTGGAAAACTGAAGCACAACAAAACCGACGTAACGTTTGCTTTGTTCATATTTAGGCTTGTCGGGATGATGCGGTGACATTTGTTGGTGATGTTCGTGGTCCTGAGACCAATCATTTTGGCCTCCTGACCTTTCTTCTAAAAGTGTCACATGTACACAATAATAAACGCATCCTAATAGGTCAATTGGGCATATCAGAGTTTCCATTGCTTGATAATAAATGCTGCTATTATTGATGCTACCACAAGCAAATAAATGAATTACCACAGATGGGTGGCTAGACAGTCCCCCCCCCTTTCACTTTAAATGTTCCTGCACAGAGTCCTTGTACATGTGCTAGATTTAGCCTTTCATTACTCAAAAGCTATTAGTCAGTTTCGTAAATTATTGAAGATTACTATTGATCCTTTTCTCTGCATATCATTCCAAGAATTGCAAACAAAGTAAATATATATACATATATATATATTGTATAAACATAAGCTTGACAATGGAGCTTAACCTATGGTAATTGTATTCATTTTTTGGAGATGTTTTGTCGACTCATACTGGAATATAGCTCTAGTATTTGACTGGCAATAACTCAATGAAGACTGAGACTTGTTCTGACTAACTTTAAACTCAGCTGTGTGTGTGTGTGTGTGTGTGTGTGTGTGTGTGTGTGTGTGTGTGTGTGTGTGTGTGTGTGTGTGTGTGTGTGTGTGTGTGTG